CGAAAAAATATAAAAATCGAGGATCTGGGGTAATATCTGTAGCCAGGTTTAAACGATGTTTGCCTATAAACATAACATGACTTGTGCTTGGATACCCGAAAATAATCGTCTTTCTTAGCGAAATTTTGAAAAATCAATGATTTAACATAAATAAACAACTAATATTAAAAGGATGTTAAGACGATAATTTCATTTTAATTTGACGAAATTTACCATTAAATTATTTTTGTTTATTTTCAAGTGTTTTACGTGGAGTCCAAAACAGGCCAAAATAGCGTCTTGTAACCCGATACCTTTACGAAAGAATGCCGTAGTGACAGACCGCCGTGAATACATTTGGAACCGCATACTTCCCTATGATGTAACAATGCCTAGTATGTATGTCACAATTACACTACGTTCCGGAATGCATTGTAAACAGTCAAAACTAGCTTAAGTGCACTGTGAACGATGTATCACCTTTAGTGCACTATGCACCAAGTAACATCTAGCGTCAGTGCACAGTAAACCAGTCAGAATTTGCCTGATGAAGATGACAGACGGTCATCGAAACGTCGGCTCGTGAAAAATAAATGGTTGTGAATAAAAAGCTTTTCATGCTTTTCATGCTTTTAGAATAGTTAGAATTGTTTTTTTTAGGGGGGGGCATTTTCCGACAAAATCTGTATACAATGTTGTGTCCCTGGACCTGGGTGACTCATAGCAATAGTATGCAGAGCAAGAGCGAATAGTCATGCACCTGTTTTAGTGTAGCAATGGCAATTTACATTGTACTAAAAGCTTATTTATAGTCTATGATTCCTCTTGCATCTAAACTTGGCTCAATTGGTAAGCGACTTAACATTTTCCACTCACAAAGTTAGGAGGTCAGGGGTTTAAGTCCAGGGATTTTTAAAAACATCTTTTTTTACTTGATAATTAGATATCATTGCTATGTAAATAAAGTAAATGTTCACTTTTTCTTGTTTTTGCCAATTTTTTATTAATTTTTTTTAAAATTCAAAACGTTTTTATTCCATACTTAGTGCTAAGAACTGTTTAGCCCTGAGTCACATCCGACAGTCCCAGTGACAGGTAAGTAATTTTGGCGGGTAGGCTTCAATACTCTTTCAGGGATGTCGAGCTGTGTCATTGAGGCGGGGTAACACTCTTTTAATAATCTATAGAATAAGAATTAGCACAAATGCCCAACCTTTATGCAACAACGTAACAAGTAATGAAATACGCCCAAGTTTTGCGTTACGTTTTATTGAAAAACTCACGCTTTTAAACATTTTGCCTTTCGCAGCCTGATAGAGACCGCTATGTGCGTTCCTTCCGTCCTTCCGCGTGGTTCTATGATAGCGAGACATTGCTCCATGCAGATTCTATGTTGATGCCAAGCCCATGAAGGCATATGTGACATACGAATCAGGTAGAGACGAATGTAGTGCTTAGTTTATGTATTGGTTTTACAACTAACTAACAAAAGTAACATTATCAGCAAACTACCATCAAGGTGATACAGTTTTAATGATGCAAGTAGAGGTAGACTTTTCTACCTTTTACCCCATTAAAACAATATCTTCAAGCTCTATACAACATTGCATACACAAACTAAGCGAAGGACCAGCTTTTTCAAAAGTATTTCTTGTTAAAACATATGCTAAAAATCTCTAAACCTGTATCCCCACATACAAGTTGTTGTCTTCCTTCATTGTTAACCACAGTTCTTATCGCCATAATGTTCATATGGGATCCAGGATGAGTGACTCACACTATTGCATGCTGAAACATGATAAAATGATATATATGTAAACAGAGTTTACAGACCAATCTAAGATATGAGGTGCAAGATACTGCCAAGAAGGCGACTCTAATAGTACATCTCGGTTCACTTCCACTCTTTGAAAACACCACAAGTCTTTCCTGGTTAGATACGTAAATTAACTTAGATATATACGTTGTCTCCTTTATATGCTCCATACGATATATACTGACATAATCATGCAATATATCTGATATATATCTCACATTAGTATAAAAGGCGATATATGCCAATTATACGAATATGAGATATATTCTTGTGACAAAATATTTATACCTAAACACACAACGAAAGTTCAGCTATGCTGTGGAGCTTTCGAAACTCTGTCTCTTTATCAACCCGATTCAGGTCTCGTCTTGGAGTTCTTTTGTCACGTGACTTGATGGGATAATCACGTGACAAGAGACAGT